GTACTGTGTGGTTTGTAAAAATATAGTTAGATGCAGATGCCATACCTGTAGGCCTTTTCTGTCCCCTATGCAAACTGCATTGTTGATATCCTTACATCCTGGGTTAGTTGCTGGATACAGTGGTCATCTGCAGTCACCCCTAGCATTCCAGGAGCAAGTGTACTTCCTGTTTCAAAAGCTCATGCATGGTCTCTCTGCCTATTTCAGCAGCAGCTGAGCTCAGTTTTGCAGGTATAGGTGGAGAGAGTACGCACTGTGCATGTTCGGCTTTTGGAAAAAGAAGTGCTGTTGGTGCATTGGTGGAGGTGAGTGCCAGTGGCTGCTGTGTTGTTCAGTTAGCCCAGAATGTAAGGATGTCAACAATGGAGTATTTTGTCCAATTTATTTCGGGAACAAAAAATGGCCTATCTTCATCTGAGTATATTTTACCAAACTGCATAGTGCATTCAAACTATTGCCACCCCCCATGTATGCTTGAGCTGATTTCTGTAAAAGGTGAACTTAGCTTTCAGAAAGTCTCTCCATTGTTTTTAATCATCATGTGATGTTGACCTTTTTCTTTGTTTTGTTCTTATAATGACATATAAATAGCATTATAGCTTTGTCACATGTTCTGTCCCTCTTTGTAATGTACAGCGCTGAGCGAACTATTGGCGCTTTATAAATACTGTATAATAATAATAATAATAATAGCTGTGGTTTCTTAAATTATAAAATCAAGCTTAATAATGAGATACAAAATGTTGCATGTTATAAGCAATGCAAAGATGTAAACACTTGGTTTAACGGTGTATGTGCTGTGATTAATTTTGCATCATTTATTTTAGTTCCAGAAGTAGTGTCCCCAGACCTAGAGGCACCAGCCTACCCTGCTGAGATAATTACACCTCTTCGGTACAATCACTGCTGAAGGACAGCCTGCAATCTTCCAGTGTCGTGTCTCTGGCACAGGTTTGTTCACTATTTATTAACAAGACAATAATAACTAATATTTTAAAAACCTTATTATGTGGTCAGTGATGCAATTACTTCAGAATTCATGAGGAGGCATTACAAGTTACTTATGAAACTGCATTATAAGATTGTTACTACTTCCTATAGTTTTATAACTTTTGTAAGGTAATCACACTTTCTCATGGTATGAATGACAATGTATAAAGTTATACTGCATTTCTTATGCCATAAACAGATTTGAAGGTCTCCTGGTACAGCAAAGACAAAGAAATCAAGCCATCTCGCTTCTTTAAAATGACTCAGTTTGAAGACACATATCAACTTGAGATTGCAGAAGCCTATGCTGAAGATGAAGGCACCTACACTTTTGCTGCAAGCAATTCTCTTGGCCAAGTTTCTTGCACTGCAAACCTCAGACTGGAAGGTAAATACATAGCAGGTGTTAATAGTGTAATATATACAGTATATATGTGAACCATTTAACAACCTGTGCTAATATAGTCTTTGTCTTCCATTGACAACCAAGTCCACTAATGGAATCATTGTCTTTGGTCGAAACATACATATTCTTGTCTAGAATATGGAATAGTCATAAAATTATCCTTCTCCATTGTCAGTGTTACTTTCCTTGTCCACTGTCATTTCATTTTTCTTTCTTTTTTTTTCTCTGCTATGCACTCCTATCCCTCCTTTAATTACATCTTCTTGATTGTATATATTCAAAGGTGCAGTCTTTCTGTGTCACACGAAAGCCAAAACAAAAAAAACATATGCATAACTCATTTATAAATGATTAAACTATACAAACATAAGAACATGTTACAGGAAATTCCATCATTAGTGTCAACAGATCAATTCAATTCATAAGTTGCTATTGCATGAGAGAACTTTGCATATCTCCTCTCTGACGTCCATTCAGACCTCAGTCTTTGCCTGATTGCAGAGCACTCCAGGGTGAAGAAAAACATTCTGGTGTGATGGGATTTTGGAAATCCGCAGGTTTTATGGAAGTGTTAAGGTTTTGAACAATCATCACAAATTGCCTTGACAGTTTGCACACATTTTTGCTTACACATGTCTTATTAGTAAACACAAATGTGCAGAACACATCTAGGCATTTTGTGATGATTGCTGGTAGCTTATTACTTCTTGAAAAGCCTGATGATTTGTGGAATTCTTTAGTACTGGATTATTTTTTTCTGCACTCTGGATCAACATTTTAGTTTTGCTTGCTTACACATACTTTGATGATTGTAATTTGGTATGACAGGGTTGCCTTTAAGTTCAGTCATAATAGTTTACATACATTTGTAGTACATCTTGTTGCAGTAATTTACACATTATTAAAAGCTAATGTTCCAAATAAAGTTTGACATGCTTCTTTTTAGGCCTTAAACATTGTGTGGATATAACAACTGGTCCCCAGTGGCAGATTACTTCACCTGGGTCATTTAAGAAAGAAGTGGTTGCTCAAATTCCTGTCTTCATCCAGCCTATTTCTAGTTGTGCTGTACAGAGTGGGGAAACAGTACGCTTTGTAGCAAGAGTTTCCAGCTTGCCAAAACCAGAAATTAGGTGGTTTCACAACCAAAAGGCCATTTTTTTCATCCAAAAATATTGTATTTCATTTTGATGAGTCTACAAACACTGCTTTACTTATTATAGTTGATGCATTCATAGAGCATGCAGGGGTTTATACTTGCAAAGCAAGAAATAGTGCTGGTGAAGTTTCCTGTGCAGCCACCTTATCAGTAACTTCTGAAGGTAAAGCCCCACCTTCTAGCGCAGTTTATTTTGAGACTGTCATTCACACTTATACTAACATTTTCCACTCTACTTTCAGTTTTTCACCTCCTGTTTTGGGAAGTTTTCCCCTTTACTTGCACTACTTCACCTCTTGTTTTGTAAAGTTAATCACCTACGTAACACCATTTGTAATACAGGACATTTTTTAACCTCTTCACTTCACAAACTTACTTTCCTGCATTAGTCTCGCCAAGTATCTAGAACATTACCTAAAGCATATCACTGCAATGTTGTTGGAAAACATTTTTATTTGAACCTACGGTGCAGTAAAATTAACTCAATGAACCAATTTTAGTTAAATTATCTAACATATCCAAATTATTTCAATCCAGTAGTCAAACAGGTGTCACTCTTACTTTGGATCAATAAAGAACATTCTTTGTCAGAATTTTGGAAAGCGACAACGAAAGAAGATGCAACCTTCTGTGTCAGCATGAATTTTCAATTCTTCATCCTTTGTCATTTTTTGTAAACAAGCATGCAAGTTGGCATGCGTTATTCTCAAGTGATCTGTTTAAGTCTTCTTGATCAACCTATTTGTTTTTATCATAAGGACCAATGGACAATTTAGTTGTTAATTTTCTTTTTTTTTTGTTTTACTTGATTACACAGTGCAATCCGTAGTTAGTCAAAGCTTTACAAGCTCTGCGAAAAGTGTTACAGAATCTGTCAGCACTCAGTCAGTATCAGAAGCCACAGTATATTTAAAAGAATTTAAATCAGTTCAAGCAGAAGCTGTGCAGGTTTTTGAAAGCATTTCTGAAAGCTCAACTGTAACTGCATCATCCTCTATGAAAACAGAAGAACACTTTAAAGAGGCCATCACCCAAGCTTCAAAAGAACAGGTTTCTGAAACTGAAGCTGAGGTACAAGAGGTCAGTGATGAAGCACCAAAGATACTGCTGAAACTTCATGATATGACCGTGAAGGTTGGAGAGGTAGCCCAGTTTATCTGCGCGGTGCAAGAGGGAAATTTAGAAGTTACCTGGAAACATGAAAACCAAACCATAGAAGACACCACAAGAATGAAAACATCTCAAAATGGAAATGTCATGTTACTTACTATACAGAATGTTCAGTTGACAGATCAAGGCACATACAGTTGCACAGTTTCGAATGCCTTCGGAGAGAAGACACAACTACTGCAGTACTAACCGTAGAAGGTGGCTATTTTAATACTGCTGTTGTAGTATCCTCCAAATAAAAAATAATGATGGTTTCTTGTCACCTTGTTCGATTTTGTTTGGTCATTCTTACAATGAAATAGCATATGATTTTCAAACAAAATAGATCTGTACAGTGGTGGCCCCTATAACATCATGTATTTGTAGAGATTTAGATTGAAAAAGATTTAGCAATTACTAAACATGCTTAATACTTTTAACATTAGCTGATAGCTGCATGGCAAATAATTAACATAACAGACTGTTATGTTATGGTTAGGGTCAAGAATCATGTTTTCATTTTTTTCACTTAGTTTTTTTAACTTTTGATTTAGGCTAAAGGCTCAATTTCTATGAGCTCCATTACATTTTTGAATATATTTTATAATGATAAAGTTATATTATCCATCTATTTATCTATATACAATGTATGTAACTGTTATTTTTGAAAGTTTTACTTTTCAGTTACTTATTTTTTTCCCTTAGGAGCATGAGTTAAAAAAGTTACATTAGCTCCAAACTAATCATTTTAGCCCTCTAATTTTTTTCTTTCATAAGTATTATAGATGTGAGTAAAAAAATGACCAGTCCTATAACCTATAATTTATAAGAGGTGACAAAGTACTTATTAAAAAAAATGCCTTCACTTTACATTGAATATACATAAAGTAACAACAACGAATGGAACAAATGATTCCAATTTTTGATATACAAATTCACAATACTAACAACTGCCAGAAACAGCTAATCCAGTCATTCTTTTTCTGTACTAGTATGCACTGTATTCGCAAACCATCTTAACTAACACTTTCATAAATTTATTCTTGCCTAGCAGAAGAAGCAACCACCAAGGCAGTAGCACAAATAACCCTTGAATCAGATAAAAAAAGCTTTACAACGCATAAAGAAATTCAGATTAAGAGTTCTTATGAAGTCAAACAGGAGACCACCACGAAAACTTCCAGCCTGTCAATAACTCCATCACAAAGGCCACCAGGACCTGAGAGACAAAAGAGCAAAGAATATTTCCCTGATGTCATACCTTATGAAGAACTCATAGACTCTTGTGCTGTAGTGCCAGCTTTTCTTGAAAAACTGCCCCCAGAAACTTTTGTAAAGGAAGGCACAGATGTCTCCCTCTTTTGCGTTATAAAGGGCATTCCTGCTCCTTGTGTTATATGGCTCTTCAACAAACTTCTAGTTGATGAGTCAACAACGTGTCTTTTAAGAAATGACGGGTCGCTTTGCAGCTTAAAAGTGTTGAAAATTGTTCCAAAGCAGAGTGGCATATACACATGCAAAATAGTTAATGCAGCAGGACAAGCTGAATGCAGCACTCATCTGACAGTGACAGGTTGGCAACTGCATGCTCTTTCCACCTATGAATACTTGCATAGCACTGTATGCAATGGACAACAATATAAAAAAAAAATAGCTACATGTGGCAATGAATTAAATTGTTTTCCACTTCAGTATGAGGCATGTAAAGGCATGTTCAGATGCGTTATATCATACACAGAATAGTCTTTTTGGAGACTGACACATTCACCTTTGATATTTAGGTGCCAATACACTTTAAGACCCCTTTGGCATGTCTTTTTATATGTTAGTGTGAGTGTAATCTGTATGTAACAGGAATGGGCAAATCTAATTTCTCATTTTAAATTTTTTTCTAAAGTGAAAGAAATTCCAACTATTTATTTTTAATTTTGGTGCAATGAAACAAGCTCTTCATTGCTGTCTGTGAAATCAGAAAGGGGATTTCCCCTTATGCCAAGTTTAGTTGTGGCAGCCAGAGTTCTGCTGTAAGCTGAATTTTGTAGTTGTTTCTCTGTGGAATGCATCCACATATATTCCCAGTGGTGTATTTAGGTTTTGTGCTGCCCTAGGCAACACAAAAATTGTACCCATCCCCCCACCCCCACAGAGACCCTGACGCCAACCAACACCCCCTCCCCCACAAAGAGAGCCTGGCATTGACCAACAACACCCCACCCCTACCTGAGAGAGCCTTCCTCTACCACCGCTCCCCATATACTGGCCACCGCCCCACCCCGGTGAGAGAGAGAGGACATTTACCTTCACAGCTCCGGACATCCGGGAACAAGAGTCAGGCTCTGAATACACCATCAAGCAGCCCGCAGCCTCTCGGATCCCACCTGGTCCCCATGCTACGTGTGTCCCTTCTTCTATCCCTTCTTCCGGAGGGGCAGCGCTGCCCCCCTAAAAAATGCTGCTGCCCTCCAGAAAAATGCTGCCCTAGGCAAATGCCTTGTTTGCCTTGTGGTAAATATGCCCCTGTATATTCCTAGGATGACTTAGCTAGGGGTTAAATAGAAGCTGCATTAGGGCTTGCATAAATGCAGCATGCATTTATCATACATTTGAGATCATTTTGAGATGCTTCAGGGTTGACTAAGTAATATAAAATATTACTTTTATAAGGAGAGAAGCAGTTCGCAAGTGAATAAAAGGCTGTGTAGCCTTATGATGTGGGCTTAATTATGATGTGTAAACATCAGCAGGTTACAATTATCTTTGTAACATTATGGACATTGGAAACTAGATGTATTTTGATTTGCTCATTGCTGTATTGTCATTCCAGTCACTGTCCTAAAAAAGAATAAATCTTATGTTTGAAAGTATAAAAAAACGTAAAAATTAAAAATAAAAACTAAAAATTTCTACTTTTTTCTGCATAGCTCTGGAGAAAGTGCTTCAAGAAAGGATAGAACAACAGATTGAATTTGAAGTAAAAGGTATGTTAAAAGATAACTTGGATCTTAAATTTCATATAAACTAGCTCTTTTTTGGGGGAACATCTGTGAAACACAGGTATTGGGTTTTTTTGGAGGTTTTATTTTTTGTTTTTTTTTAATATACAAATATTTTAACATATTATTTATATTTCCATTATTACAAATTGTGCATGAAGTTGGTTTCCAAGTTAATTAAGTTAATAATTATGTTTATGAATGAAACATTTCAGAAACGTAGATTAACAACATCATCATACAACTTTCTCATAAGATTTTCTACAGTTTTCAAATTTTGCATGATGAAAAGTGTACAAAAGGTGGTATGTCTTAAATAGAAATGCACTGTTATTTTGTTGCTTTGTGTTTTATTTTGTCTATTTTGTTCATTAAAACACAATGCATTAAATGCCTTACATGGCTTGCAGATGGCATCTAGTACTGTGCATAATTAATGTTGCTTGCTTTTATTGCATAACATAATAATTTTTTGGCTGTATTAGTTCGAATAAACGCCTTCTCATTCAAATATAGCTGTTTTTAGGTTACAACAGATACAATTTTGTATTAATTTAAAAAACTTTACTCACATCCAAATAAGCATCAGAAAGGGCGTTTATTCTGCTGTCTGCAAGTCAGGTAAGATCTTTATCTGCAATTTTAAACCCACTAAAATTTCCGGACAGCTATGCATACACAAAAAATGTTATTTACAAAACAATTTTGAGATTTACCTGTCTGTCACTGAAGAAATTTCTACAGTTGAAGAATGAACACACAGCAAGCGATTTTGGTGTCAGAAACTTTAAAAAAGAACAAGGCGTTGCGTTTATTCGAACAAATATGGTGAGTGAATATTTTTCTGGATTTGTAGTTTATGTAGCATGACTATAGATGATTTCTAAATATATTTTAAAAAATACATATTTAAATTCAAATATTTGGTGAGGTGAGCTCCTATTAAACCATAGATTTCATTTTTCACAGAAATATTCTTCAGGGAGGAAGCTGAAAGTGAAAATGAAAACAGAAGAGCATTGCGAGGTGCCTTTTCAGATACAGAAGACTACTTGGATCATGGACTCATTTCATCTAATCGATGCGCAAGTCGGACATCCTCTATTGGTTCTTGGTCAGAATTCATAAAGCCTTCCTTCACACAGAAGTTGACATTTCGATCAGTTTTGGAAGGCGAACCTGCAGTTTTTCGCTGTAAACTGGTTGCCTGCCCATTGCCAAAAATCTCTTGGTTTCACAATAACAAACCAATTGGTAGAGATTCACGGAGGGTCGTTAAAACTGAAAGTGAAATGCACATTCATAACTGTAATTTGTTAATTAAAAGTGTGGAAGATCGAGATTCGGGCAGCTATCGCATATTTGCTATAAATAGTGAGGGATCATCTGAGAGCACAGCATCATTGCTTGTAGCCTTAAGAGAAGAGCAGAACCCCAAATATATAGATTTTGTAAGATACTCTGAAAAAACTCATGAAAGCATAGATACCCTAGTTCAGAAGAAAAGGGAAAGCAAGTTAAAAGTTGACCTCAAGTGTGTTGGATCTCCGCATGATAAACGTAGGGAAACACAAGTTTTGAAAAGCAAATATTCTAAGAAAGGTATATACAAAACTATAAGCTTTGAAAAGATTTTTTCAGGTGAAACATGTAAAAAAAGTCACACTAGAAAAGTTTCTGAGAGTGAGAAGCTGTTAGACAAAGAAATACAGAGTAAGCTGCAAAAGTTGCGGGAACTTAAAAGAGCAAGAGGAAGCAGAAGTTCTATTTGTTCTTCTGATATATGCTCTGATGTAGACCTTGAGTCTTTCCAAAGCGAAACAAGTTCAGTAAGCTTTCATATTGAGAGAGAAAAAATATAAATTTGGCACTTTCTCTGAGGTTTTTAAAGATATTACATTTGAAGCAAAAGAGGTTAAAGTGGAAAAGCTGCTAGAGAATACCGAACAATTGAAAGAGCTCAACCACAGCAGTGCCCAACAAAAAGCACCAGAAGCTGGGTCTTCAGATGCTATAGTACCAGATACAACTGAACCTTATATCTCAGATGTGGTCCAAGATTTTAAAGAAGGAGATTTTCATGAAATTGTTGTTGAAGAACATGGTAAACAGAAGAATGAGTATCAAACTGAATGTAACACAGAGGAAAACAAAATCCCAGAATCAGGCACTGGCCTTCTTACATCAACTGTTGATATCAGTGAGCCAAAAGAAATAGACAATGAAGAAATAGAGTTGTTAGCACCTATTAAAGTGAATAAACCTATTAAATCTAAAGTACTTCAAGATCGTTCTGAAATAAGCTATGTGTGCAAATTAGCAAAGAAATTCAATCAAAGTGAAATTAAAGTTCATCAATCACAAAGTGAGACTTACACTAACAAAATGAATGAAATGCTTCAGAATGAAAATGAGGTTGATACCAGCAAAGTGCATTTGGAATTACAAGCAGAAATAAACTTTCCAACAAGAACAGAAAATGTTAGTCATAAAAATGTACCTAAAACAATTCAAAAAGACAAGGATAGGAGCATTACAGAATTAGAAGAAGAACCAGTTAAAATGTATGAACCTGTTAGAGCCAAAATACGACAAGGACCATTTGAAACCAGTTTATCCTATTTAAGATGTCAGACCAATGTACAAGAAGAGTATACCTCACAGAAATGTAACAGAATGACTGGATTTAGTCTGAGCTCCTTCCAAGAGCCACGCAGAAAAGAGGAGAATGTATGTGTATCTAAAGATCTTCAAAAGCCATCAAGCATTTTGGAGGTAATGCCATCAACTAACATTAATAGTGTACAGAAAGCCAACAATCAGGGTGAGTTACATTTGCCTGAATCAATTCAACTCTATGAACCTGTGACTGCAATATTACTAAAAGAGTCTTCTGAACCTAATATAGAATATGGAATACAAGATAAAAAGCCAGTAAATACTAAACTGTACCCTTCATTGGCAGTGACTCAAGAAAGCAAAAATACCTTAAATAATGAGTTTTATAGGAAACCGTTGCATTTTCAAAAACAAGATAAATCAAAACTTAGAGAAGATATTTGGCCTGAAAAATCAATAGTGCACATTGATGATCTACAAAAGGAAACAGAAAGCAATTCAGAACTAATTATTGTCAATGAGCCTGTAAAAGCTAGGTTTTTGCAGGGGTCTTCTGAATCTAAGTTCTTAAGTTTATCTGCACAAATGGAAAAACAAAACGAAAATAAAGGACCATTTAAAGATAGTGAAAGTGAAATTTACATTATTGGAATTGATAGGAAATTTGACATTAGTGAAATTTCTGTTAATGATAAAAATAAGAAATTTGTAGATGAAAAGAAAGAAAATTTGCAGTTGAAAGATAAAAAATTAGCAGTTGCAGAAAGAAGTGTTAGTAAGAGTACTGACGCTAAAAAAGATTACATGAATTTGGAAATGAAAGAACCAGTAAAAATGCACAAACCCATTACAGCTAAACTTGTACCTGAGTCTGTTAATATAAATAAAGCAGTATCAACTAAAGTGCTTCAAAGGCCATCAGAAGCTAGCTTAACTGAAATAACTACACATCAAGTACAAGAAAAACATCATCTGGAATTTGAATGGGTTGATGATGCTTTCCAAAAAGAACAAAATGTGCACTTGACTTTATCTTCTTTAAAGGAATTAGAAGATAAGCAGGTGGAATTGTTAACTGCACCATTAGTGAGCACTGAGGGAATCCAAGAAAGAAAAGAACCTCAAGATTCATACTGTACTTCTAAAATTCTGCAAGAGCTTCTTCAGTCTGACCTAACTCGATCTGCTGTGCGTGAAAATGAAAATAACTGGCAGAAAATCGAACCAAAGGAAAGAAAGCAATTCCTTAGAAAGCAAGAATTACAGGAACATTTCCCTTTGGACACCAGGGATAGTGCAGTTGGAGACACTCCAAACACTGCTCAATTAATTGAAAAAAAAGATAATGTTGAATCACAGCTACCACTTTCCATCCAAACTAATCAACTTGATACAGCTGAAATATTACAAGCATTTCAGAAAACTGAGGAGGCAACTGTAGTAATTCATGCAAAGCAGCAGGATGTAACAAAGTTTAAGGAAGTTGATGAAGTCGACAGAGATGCAACAGTTTTAGGATTATCGAGGAAAGAAGATTTACAGGGAGAGGAATTTATGCACATGGATATTAAAGATAAACCAGTGTGTTTTAAAATCATCAGACGTTCCATTCAAAACATTAATTTTAAAAGATGATAGGTTCCAAAACCAAAATGAATACCCAGAAAGTCTTCAATTTAACACTAGTGAACATGTTTTGTCTGAAGCTCAACAGGAATTTGAAGTGAAAAATTTGGAAAATGTGTCTGAACAATTAACACTGCAAGAAGTGTTGGCCAATCGGAAGTCTGAAGAAGTTTATGAAGCTGGCACTTCTCAGGAAATTAAGACACATTATTTTGCTTCAGAAATCAAAAACAGAGAACACGTAGATGAATCAATTAATCAGTTTAGTAAGTCATTTAATGAAGGTAGCACCTTCCCTGTAGAAAAAGAGGATGTGCAGTTAGAATTGCAAGTGATAAAAGACCTTAAGATCATCATAGATGTTAGTGAAACAGAGCATGAAATGAGAAAGAATCTTGACGATGAATCTGAAAAGCCTGTGACCGAAAAGCCATATCCATGTTCCCCTATGTTTACATGTGATATTGACTCTCAAGAAGCATTTGAGAGTGACACGTGTACATTTACCTGTTATTTCCGTGGTTACCCTCAACCAACAGTCTCTTGGTATAATAACGACAAATCAATACCTCGCAATAATAACTTTCTAATAGTTACCACAGATTCCAAATCTACTTTAACATTTTCATCTGTTCAACCTCAATATGCAGGTTCTATAACATGTGTAATATTTAATCAATATGGAACTGATACCACCTTTGGAAAACTTAAAGTTAAATTAAGAGAGAAAGAAGATCAAAAT